TTTTTTTTTTTTTGTCAGGTAAATGGAAGTTTTTTGGTGTAATTTTTAAGAGTAAATTCAAAAGGAAAGTATTGAAGGTTGTAGCTGTAGTTACTAGAGGGTGAAGGGAACTGTAAATCTGATAAATTTTTGATAATTGTAAAATTTTCATTCGTTTTTCGGTTATTATTTCACTCGTCACTACATTTATAGCACTAAGTTTGCATAAGGCAATTAATTACCACGGTTTTTTTGCGCTGGTAATAAAATAAGCATTAGAGGAAAAAATCTTATTTTTTTAAGAGAATTTTTAATGAAACAGTCGCTTTTAACCGTTATTTTCTGTGATTATTGCTTTTTTTTTTTTGCACAGAAGGGAGCGACGGGCTGCAACTGCAAAGAAGGAGCGATTATGGCCAAGTGGAATAATCCCGTACGAAATATCTGCAGATTTTTCAGGTAACTCAGCAATTAGTATAATTTTCTATTCCTCAGGCGAACATAAGTATATTTTTCAGCAGGCTATGCGACATTGGGAGAACCATACCTGCATAACATTCATTCCACGGCAAGAGCACCACACTGATTACATATATTTTACTGTGGACAAATGCGGGTAAATGAATGATGGATTAAGAAACTCATTTTTGATAGATTTCAGATTTAGCTTTGCTTTTTTTGCTCAATAGAGACAGTGACTGATTGTTTATAAGAATACGCATGTTAGATAATGCAAGTTCATTTTTAGTGTTTAAGATTTTTGTTAACGTATTTTGGTATAACAGGAAATTATAGATGTTGCTCTTACGTTGGAAGAAGAGGCGGCGGACCACAAGCGATTTCAATTGGGAAGAACTGTGATAAATTTGGCATAGTCGTTCATGAATTGGGGCATGTTATTGGATTCTGGCATGAGCATACAAGAATTGATCGAGACGATTATGTTACAATATTGTACAGAAGTATTCAACAGGGCATGCACTTAAAAACTTTAATTATTTATAAGTTTCCTGACGCAAAATTAGTTACATTTTAGTACAGAAATTATAACTTCTTAGCTGTAGTTTTTTCTTTTGCGTTATTAAAGTTTTTCGATTAAGATTTTTAAGTTGATTTTTTGAATAAATTGCTCCACTTTTCCCTAAGAAAAATGATATATTTGGAGTCTTTTAAATTGTCTGGAAGTTACTTTTAGGACAGGATTACAATTTTGACAAACTGAAAATCGATGAAGTAAATTCGCTAGGGGAGCCCTACGATTACGCCTCTATAATGCACTATTCAAAGGATACTTTTTCGAAAGCACCGTATTTGCACACGATATTGCCGAAACATGTTGTTAATGGGAAAAGACCAGATATTGGACAGCGATTTCGACTTTCTGTTGGTGATATTAAACAAACAAACAAGCTCTATCACTGTCCAGGTTTTTGGCTTTTATTTGGAATTAGATACTTGAGATTATAACATTCACGTTGGAAGAAGAGGCGGCGGACCACAAGCGATTTCAATTGGGAAGAAGTGTGATAAATTTGGCGTAGTCGAGTTTAGCTGAGAATTTATATAATTTAATTTAGCTTGTTACAAGACTCTTACTGCTGAAAATGGTAGCTTGACGCTGGAAGGTCACGACTGTGTTTGGCGAATTATTGCTCCTATAGGAAGTTTTATAAGGATTAATATTTCTGCTAATAGTTGGCCAACTTTCGCTAAATGTGCTAATGAAACCGAAAATTACATGTTGGTGAGGGATGGATACCATGCCAGATCTTCAATCATAGGTAATCTCAAAGTGTTTCAGTAGGAAGTTTATCGAAAAATGTTATGAGATTCACTGATCTTTTTTCTTCAATTGTTTAGCAAAAATATGTGGTAATTCGGCAGTGAAATCAGTTGTTTCGTCTGGTAATCGTATTTATGTTAGAGCTCGGACTGCAGCAATTTCAGTATCACCTTTCACTGCGAGTTATGAAAGTGGGTACTTTACAGAACGTATTTTTAATCCTCAAGGAACGAAAAGTTGGTTTACGTGTTGGTAGAAATATGCTTGAAATCGCATGTTTTTTGCCGATTCCTTATTCATCTTGAGGTAAAATAATTCTGAGTTTGTGCTGAAATCTCTTGTGTCTTTTGGTGAACAATTATTTTCAAACAGTTATATGCGGCGGAATTTTGCGTGGTGCCTCTGGAACGTTACAGAGTCCACAGTTTCCTGGGACATATCCTCCAAATCATAAGTGTGAGTGGATCATCAAAGTTGCTGATGGTAAACAGGCCGCACTGGTTCTCCATTATTTTGAAGTGAGTACTTAAAATTTTTTTGGAGGGTCTTTTGGAATTCTTAAAATATTTTTTAGTACGTATTTTAGTTAGAATCTCATAAACAGTGTATTTATGATCGTTTGGAAGTATACGAAGGAGACAAAGCAGATCATTCGAAAGTTATTGCCAAGCTTTGTGGAAAGGTATTAAGCTGCTCATAGTTCATCAGCACTTTCTTTATTTGTTTTCACTTTTTGAAAGAGCAGTGAGAAATCTCAGTTATTTTTTAATTAAGTGGTGAACAATTGCAGTTTTTTGATTTCACAAATAGAGATTTCTTAGTACCCCATTGATTCTGTAGGAGGTTTTACAGGTCATAATTCTGCGCTGAAAAAGAGAAAAGATCTTATGTTACTTATAATTTTAAGAAGAGATCTTTTTTGCTCTAGACATTCAGCAAAGTCTTTTAACAAATTTGTCTGAGATAATAATCTACTGGTCAGTAACCGTTATTGCGTCACTCATTGTCAACATTAAATTGTTTAGATTAAGTCGAAGGTTATCACATCTCGTGGTAATGTTGTCTTTTTGCGCTTCTGGTCAGATAATTCTATTCAGAAAACAGGTTTTCAAATAGAATATTTTGAAGGTAGGCCTCAGTATTCAACTAAAGTTGCCTTATTGTTTCCTATGCACAATATGTTTCAAAATAAAGCTTACATATTTGTTGGTGAAATCTACTCTTTCAGAAGTAAGATTTTTTGAAGCACATGACTACTGTAAGTTTCCGAAAAACTATCTATTTGTTATTAAAAGAAAAAAGGATCTCAATAAGTCAGGAAAGAAAATGTTATTTTTACATCAAGAGTTTTTTGCTCAGTGTTTCAAATGCTTATCTCATTTCGACAACAAGTGATTTTCTATAAATTTTTCAGAAGAAGACGAGTGCAGTTCTGCAGGCTTCAATAGCTGTGAACAACAGTGCATAAATGAAATTGGAGGATACCGTTGTGCATGTGATGTCGGTTTTTCTTTAAAAGAAGATGGCAGAACTTGTCAAAGTAAGTTATCACTCCTTCTGCATATGAAATAGGTAATTTAAAAAAAAATTCGGGCTTTATTTTACTCTGCTCATTCAGTTAGCAGCCATTCATATTACTGTATTCTCTGCTAATTTTTAGGCACTTGTGGAGGATACATAAAGGCTGATAGTGGAGTTTTCTTCAGCCCAAATTACCCACTAAATTACTCGCCTTCTCAGCGCTGTATTTGGGACATTGAAGCTAGAGCAGGCTACCAAATAATTATTAATTTTACCCACTTTGAGATTGAGGGCATGAAAACAGAATGCGCATATGACTACGTATCTCTAACTGATGAGTTTGGAAAAGAGGAAAGATATTGTGGTTCTTACGATGAGCTTCTAGTTTATACCTCTGCCTCAAACCTTTTGAAGGCTCAATTTGTGTCTGATGCAACCGTATGATTTTGACTCTGCTTTTATTTAATTTTTTGTAGGAAATTTGTATCAAACCATAAATTTTTTTATCTTCAAGGTTGAGAAAAGTGGTTTTCTTGCATATTTTATGACTGATCTAGACGAGTGTCAGGAAAACAAAGGCGGTTGTGAACAAATCTGTATAAATACCATCGGTTTGTTTAAAACAGCTTTTCACCTATTTCACAGTTAATTATCTTCATTTCATCTATGTAATAATTTTAAACCCTGAAAACTTTTCCGGTCTTCACCTGCTTTTTATATTTATTACATGCTAGAAACCTACAGCGTACAAAGATTCTCGGAACTGTCAGTTTCACTCAGCACACTCAAAATGCAATGAAAACCGGTTCAGATAGTATCTCATCCAATTACCCCGCCTATATGGATGAAACTTGTTTTTAAAAGTTTCAGGTTCTCATCGTTGCGAATGCGATGCTGGTTACCTGCTTGCTCATGACGGGCGTCACTGTAAAGAAGGTGGTTGCCATTTCCAAGTGCATCATTCTGAGGGAGAAATAACGTCGCCAGGTTATCCCCTTGATTATCCAAATGGAAAATATTGTGACTGGCATATCGTTACTACACCTGGCCACCAGTTAGTCGTCGTGAGTCTTTACACTCTTTTCAAACGAAATTTATGTTTCCTTTGCTTGTTAGTTCTGAAACTAAACTTCTACTGCGCTTACAATGATAATAATTTCTAGGCTTTTGAAGAATTTGAACTTGAAGAACACGCTTCTTGCAAGTATGACCGAGTGGAAATCTTTGATGGTGGAAATAGTTTTTCTAGACCTTTGGGTATATTTTGTGGCAGTGCAGTGCCAGAAAGTGTCAAAACAACTTCAAACGAGTTTTTTATGAGTTTTACTAGCGACGCAAGTGTAACAAGACGTGGATTTAAGGCTTTTTACTCGTCAGGTAAAAGCCCTTTTTTAGACTTTTTTTGCTAGTCATCGCTCCACAATTACTTTTACTGGGTGGAAGGTTCTTTAGTGTTTGAGTAAACAGGATAATTAAGCATGTTGTTTCATTTATGAAATATGACAGTTGCAGCCTGTGGCGGGAAGCTGAATGCAGAAAATCTTGTCGGCTACATATATTCTCATGCTCGATATGGAGACGATAAATATGAGGAAAATCTAAAGTAATGAGACCATTTATTTAATCATCTAGACAGTCAATTTTTTTTACTTTTGAGCTTAAAATAAGCCCTTACAACAAATCCCTAACAAAATTTAGTTGTCTGCGTTACTACGACCGAGTTTTATTTCAGTTGTGAATGGCGTTTAATGGCACCACCAGAAAAAAGCGTTCAAGTCACATTTTTACAGTTTGACCTTGAGAACGACCTTAATTGTGTTTTTGACTTTGTAGAAATTTTTGATGGCTGGAAAAGAGACGATGATATGCTCCTTGGTCGATTTTGTGGACAAATGGTTCGGAGACTTTTAGCTCCTTTTTAACCTGATTTGTCCTCTACACTATAATTATTTTGGATTTTTAGACAGTACCAGTGATCGTGTCGGGCGGGAGGCAACTGCTTATGTTTTTTAAAACTGATGATTCTGAGGAGCGTAAAGGTTTTATGGCTGAGTACCGTTCAGCTGATCCGGCCACAGTGACGTCGCGGACAACAAAATATCACGGTTTCTCTAGAGAACCGTTAATTAACAACGATTAGTCCTCTACAACTAGACGCAAAAATTTAGGCATGAATACTTGGCTGGTACCTCATACGAATTTGATTTAAAAATATTGAAGACTTTTATAGCAACTAAAGTGTTTGCGTTAGGGGTTTTGCTGTTGTAACCGATGACCAACTCTCTGCCACTGTTAAAAATTTTTCGATCTCTGCACGGAAATTTTTTGTGTAAGTTCTCTACTTACAAATGTGCGCAATAAAGATGTTTGTGCTCCAGCCGCCCGCCCGTTACTTCTATGCAACCTTTTTTCAGGGAGCCCAACACCTGTCATATTTAGGCACTTTTATTTGAGGAAGAATAGCACCAAACAGTTGTTCCTCTGCCTCTACAGGATGCAGTAAACTCCGCACTACAACTGGTGCTACGGATTTATATAATGCCGAAAGACCCTCCCGTCCCTACCATCACTAATACTTATGTTCTTAGACAAAATGCTGCCTTCTATTCAGGTACCAACCTCCTGTTTATAGGAAGGAATGAACAGAACCTGAGAACTTTACAAAATAATTCACCCTTTAGAAAAAACTTTTTTCTTCGAGAACAAGCGCAGGTAACTCAGGCAAAAGTAAATGCTGCACAATTTAATCACCTTCCCGTTAACATAGGTTAGCACTCATTCAGGGATCAACAGTGCTAACGACTACGTTAAAAGTGATCACATATTACTGACATTGTGAAACAGTAAATCTAATTACCTTTCGGTAAGCTTTGGAGATGGTAGTAAAGATTTATGAACAGAGGAAAAAAAAATTAAGCAGCAAAGATACGCGGTTGAAGACAGAAAGAAGGCGTCAAAAACAGTAAGACAGACTGTTACAGCGTAAGCTAGAACAACATGCAGTTTTTCATGTAATGAAAAAGCAAACCTAATGAGTTCATTCGGTTAAGCAAATAGTCAAACTATTTCTATCAATAGAGACTAAACCAGTAGGATCCCCACTGTGTCACAAACTTTTTTCTTCTTATCACAGATAAACGACGCATCAAATTCGAGCAATAAATCAGGTAGTTCACATAAAGCAAAAATCAGTATACGAGATTCCTCAACAGCTTCAGCTAATAAAACCAAGAAATTTTACAATTAATCATGACAAAAAGAAGGTAAATTATATCAGACTTCTAAATTATTATTTGCAGTTCAAACTTCAAAAAGTACTTAAAGTTTGAAAAATAGTGACAATGAAATACAGCAAAGTAACTTATTATTAACCTTACAGCTAATTTTCTGTAAACATCATTGTTGATGGCTAGTCAAATGAAAGAGAATACTGCGTGCTCTGTGACTGCTCATCCAGCAGAAGAGTTACGGCTGCTAAAAATGCAGGGACAGAGTCCCGACCTTCTAGATACTCATGAATTTGATTGGACCATTTATTCGCATAATCGGACTCCAAAAGGCTCACAGATTTCCCAAAATTCTCAACCTAAAGTAACTTGTTGATAACATTATAAGAATAAGAAATGTTTAGCTGAAAATCACGACAGAGTTGATACCAGCTTCTGCTATACTAATCACCAGGAAGCCTCATTCGAAAAAAAAAAAAAAACTGTACCTTAAATATGAAAAAGTTGCCAGGGTTAAAAACGCTCTCAATTTCTGCAAACCCGTCATCTTTCATCTTGATCTGCCAGCCAGAAAGAGCAGTAACAATAGCTCTATATTGCTTCACTAAATCACTTTGGATTTTTAATGCTCTTTCCTTCTCCTTCTCCGACTTATGTAATTGGAACTGCAAATCTGTAAAACGCAGTTTATTTGAAGCGACAATACAGAAAGAAAAAGAGGATAGAGAAAAATCCTACAGCTGAAAGTGAAGAAAAAGAAGCAAACCGGAAACTTGTTTTACAAGTTCTTCACGCTGCTTCCTTCTTACTGTTGCATCAAGATCGTCTTCAAAGCACAGAGTCGACACCTCCTGCAAATAGTTAAGCCAGTATTACAAAAGAAATTTTCCTATTTGTTGCTTGATTAGAAGGAAGACCTAACAAAAAAACATAAGCAAAAGACGAAAACGATCCATATGAACAACCGCTTTTCTCTTCCTTTTAGTCTCAAACTCCTTATACTCCTCATGAGCAACGTCCAAAGGATTCATACGATAATGCAAAATCATTGTCGTGTCACTGGCAGTAATCTGTTCCTTAAATTAAAAAAAAAAAAACTAAACTTTTCTGAAAGTATAAGCATATTTGCAGTTAACAGAAATAAATCTCACATATTTTGAAAGTCTTTCTTTTAACTGAGCATTCTCCTCAATGTATTTCTGTAACTCTTCATTGGTACTCGGAGCAGCCTGTTTCTGATCCTGTTCAATTTTCTCCTTTATAGAATTATATTTCTCTTTCAAGGTCTCTAGACTAGTCAAACTGAAATACATTCACCTTTACAAACAATTTCATGTGGAATTAATGCTTACCAAATCTTTTTCAAAAAATGAAACCAAAAACTGAACAGAAAAACTGACGCAGAGCTATGAATACGAGTTAGCTCCTCCAGCTGCTTTGTTTTTAGTTCTAGTTCGGCAGTCTTACTATCCAATCTAAATTACAAAGAATTGGCAAGAATATAATCTGCCTAATACCTAAAGGTACAACTTACAACAAAAAACTGGTGAAAAAAGCAGGATCAGACTAGTGACTCTTTTGTGCTTTCTTTTCTCCATTCACAGTATATGTGTAAATTGAAAAGATATCAACTTCTTCTGGTAATCCAGTGTCAGGTCAACTATTTTGCGCGCTGCAATTCGGTCGTCAGAGCCACTTTCCGCTTTCTCAACAGCCATATCTTTCAGTTTTTCAACTTCAGCCTTAATAACTAAGAGTGATATCAAAAAAATCAATTTTTCTTCTGCTGCAACTCGTTAAGCTAAAAAAACTACAGAACACTTTAGTATTACCCCGATATAAAAAAAACCGTACAAAGGGCATTTAAAATCAAAGCTAGTCGAAAGCAAGCGTAGAATAATTGACTAACAACTAAAGAATCAATAGTTTCGGAAAGTGCAACATTCCTCTTCTCCAAATTCTTCTTCTGAATTTCTTGAAGTCCGTAATGATCAAGTTTGCTCCTTAAAATGTATTAAATTAGATGACATTATCACGAAAAAAGTGTTCTCTCAATCACACCGCTTTCAACACAAAATAATAAACGAAAAAGAAAAAACAATATTTCAAATACCGTGCTAGTTTGAGCTGTGTCTCCAGGAAAAATTTCTCAGCTTCTAACTTTGTCCGATCCTCAAACTCACTTCTAGTTCCTAAGCGATCTTCAAAATCGGTTACTACTGCCTGATCATGAGATTCTTTATGAGTAATTTTTATTCCTTCTGTAACAGAAATTTCAAAAACTAAAATATCTGAACTATATTGACGAGAACGTGGTTTCATAAAGGAAAGGGTAGCCCTAAACTCATCGAAACCACTTCTCGGTGAATTCATCTCTCTTTCAGCCAAACTAGTTGTCACTCCTCCTATTGCTAAATTTCAAATGACTTCCAAACCAGAACCTAGTTTGCTTCATTTGACAACCCTCTCCTCCGCCCTCCAAAAAAAACCAATATCTTCTAGATAAGAAACCAAAAAGTAAAGAAGTCACAAAATAAAACCCACGACATGAACAACTAGCTTCTCCTTCAGTGCCGACCGATGCATCAAAACAGATTTTTTCAGAGACATAGTACGGCGGACCATGCAATTCTGGCTCTAAAAATGAAACGTTTGCAGAAATTACAAGAATAAAACCTAACAGTTTATTTCTGTGTAACCCCCAAAACTTAATCATTTAAATATTTATTGTGCAAAACGAAAGCAGGCACAGAAATGTCACTAATACTACTCAGTACTTAGAGGATCAAACGTACAAAAAAACAAAACCTTGCAGCCTATTCACAATCAGAAAACTGAACTAACCAGCAGTTCATATAAAAGTAACCAAATTAAAAGAATTTACCAAAAAACTTACGGGCAGAAACTTGAAAGAGAGACATCAATTCTTCTACTCTACTCTTGGAACTCTAAATTAACGTCGTAAAAAAAGCAGCCTATTAACGAAAAGAAATCTTGAAAGATGCTTAAGTTTGCCTGGTATTTAGATTCACGAAGCTGTTTTTCCAGCTCCTCAATGCGATCCTGGAATTCCCGACGTGTTGAAATCACAAGATTCCGGTTCTCCTCCACTTCCTTGGAAAGCTTATCGTTTGCGAACTTTAATTCTTCTTTTTCCCTTTTAAAACGACTTGCTCTTTCTTCCGCCAGACGCACACGTAGCGAAAGCTGCCTGACTATAAAGCTGACGTTTATCTTGTTTTAAAGACTTTAAAGATTCGCTAACAATACCCAACTGTTCATTAAAACGTCCCCTCTAGTAAGAATCATCCTCTCTTTTGTTCCAAAAAACACGTTGAAACTTTGAACATGTTTATCCGAAAGGAAAAAACGAAGTTACTTATTTACCTGACTCCGGATTTCCTCGTCGAAAACGGTCATGTAAAATATCAGCGGGTCGTGACCCATATAGTCCTGTTGGACTGTCGTCAGGCGGGGCTACAACATTAAAAAACTGTCAGCAAAAAGCGACGCAGAAAAGAGACAGATAATGAAAAAAAAATTGTTAAGAACATTACTGACATGACTGCAACTGGTAAAATAAGAATAGAAAAAATTTAAAAAAACGGTTAAAGTAACTTACAACCCATCATTCTTTCTTTCTTTTTTTTTCTT